CTATGGCTCCAAATGGTGAAGGTGTCATCCACATATCTGAACCATATAGTGGGCATTTTTGCTGCCATTTCCAGGGCTTGTTTTTCAAAGTGTTCCACGTAGAAATTTGCTATGACTGGGCTGAGAGGGCTCCCCATAGCTACTCCATCTTTCTGTTCATTGGATAGAAATGCTCATCTAGTCACCTTAGGGCTTATGATTCTTCTGACTTGGCTGATTATGACTTAGGCTGCTTTGTATCTACAGTAGAGCATTGCTTATCCAACATAAACGGTCCGGCAGAATATTGAATAAGCAAAAATGTTGGATAATAAGGAGGGATTAAGGAAAAGCCTATTAAACATCAGATTGCATTATGATTTTACAAATTAAGCACCAAAACATCGTGTTTTACAACAAATCAACAGAAAAAGCAGTTTAATACACCATAAGGTTATGTAGCAATTACGGTATGTATGAATTTAGTACCAAACATCGCAATGCATTGAAACAGCTGTGGATCCGGGTGGGAGGCAGACTGCATTGGATAATACAAAACGTTGGATGAGTGAAGATTGGATAAGCAAGACACTGCTGTACTCCTAAATAACAATAAAGGTACCTTCATGTAGAAGACACTTTTTAACTAAAGTAAGATTGCTTGTTTGGAATGAAAGCTTTGTCTTAAGATTTCTTCTTTCCCACACTCCCTTTGCCTGCTTTTGCTCCATGTGTTTTCCCACGTATGCATGTAGATTTCTTATCTGCATATGCATATTTTGAAAGCACCTAAGCCAGAACCATGTTTTATTCCAAACTTGTCTCATATTTATCCTCCCTTCCTTCAAAGTGTTAAGGATGACTTACATGGACTGGAACCCTGTTGGTTAGTTCCAGCTGTAGTGGACCCATTTATTCAACTACTAGCCGTCACCTGCCACATATTGCTGTGGCCCAGTCTGTGTATATGTGTTTTGTGTGTATATATATTTGTGTATATGTGTATATATGTGTGTTTGCGTGTGTATATATGTGGTTTTGCGCCTGCGTAGTAGTGTATTTTTTTGTTTTTGGCTTTTTAAGTCCCTTCTGCTGTGTTTTTCAGTGTTTTTATGAGTGATGGTCACTCGTTGGCCTGATAGGTGTCTTGTGTCCAAATTTGGTGTCAATTCGTCCAGTGGTTTTTGAGTTATGCTAATCCCACAAACAAACATTACATTTTTATTTATATAGATTTGACGGATGAATCATGCTAATTGATTCCATGGCTCTATTCCAATGGTTTCCAACTTGTTTTTGACAAGAGACCACTTTGACCAGGGACCACTCTCCAACATTAGTACCAAAAGGGTTACAAATTGGTTTTTGGCCAACTTTAGATTTGGTTTGGTTATTTGGGGTGCTGATTCAGAAAATTGCATTGGATAGACCACATCAGCTCTAGTTTCTGATACAGAACGTATGCCATCCAGTAGTTGCCATCTGCTTGCCCACAGAAATCCATATTTAATAAGCCTCAGCACTATAAGAGGGTTCCACGGGACCAGTTGCTCTCGTTGCAATGGTGTAGTAACATTGGGTCTGTGGACCATATTTAGATCTTACGGACCACTGGTGGTCCATGGACCACAGGTTGGGAACCACTGTTCTATTCTAATCATGGCTAACAATAGGATTTAGTCCCATGGTTTCCTCCCCTCTAAATTTGGCCTCTTAACCACCCTGTAGATTTGGCTGAAAGAAAGTAAGTGGCCCAAGCTCACTCAACAAGCTTCACAAAGGAATGAGTGTTTTAGTCCTATGTCTGGACTTCCCCCAGACATAGAGATGCTAAAGATTGCATCAGACTGGCAAACTGGTGAAGGACTTTGATAATAGCATGAAAGCAAGTAATCATTGCCTGTTGTGGTCTTTCAAGACGGTTTGGGCAGCAAACCCCACAATCCCTGGTATTTATCCATGCTTGTTGAGGCAAATAGGAATTGGAAGCCAAAACATCTGAAGAGCCAACAATTCCCCGTCTTCATGTACTGAGTTATCAGCAGGCCCAAATTCCCCAGTAGTCGACAAGCCCACATATTGTGATAAGTGCTGTTCATGGCATCTCCCACTGCTTAGGCAATGGCAATCAATCTCTAGAGCTGGCACGGCTTCTGCACAATCATTCAGAAAGCTTCCTCCCTGGCTAGGCAGTGAAACTCCTGCAAGGAAAGCAGTGACCAAAGCTGAGTTCCCGGGGAATCTGTGAGTATTCCTTTAGGGGAAAGTCATCTAGAGATCTACAGCACTGCATCATAACTTTGGAGATACAACAAAGTTAGGCAGGGTGCCAAGCCAATGAAGGAACATCAATTTCCATTTAAAAAAGCAAACAAAAGTATGGGAGCAAGGAAAGCAAAAGAAGGGGGGAGTGGGTGGATGTGTTGAGGTGGTACACAAAACTCAAGTCAGTAAGTATAACCTGAATCATAGATTGCTCTGTGGCATTGCTGTAAGTTTCAATGCATCTCTTTTAGCAAAGTGCCTTATGTATCCTATCAGATTCTCTGCAGAAGTACAGCTCAGAGTTGCAGAAAATTATATAGGATTTTCAAGCCTGCTTTGAGTTTGTAAGGCATGCACTGGTTGGGTTTACTCAGTCTCCTTACTGCCCCCACATGAAGCAAGAGCTCATATTAGAATATGGGCAGGTACATGGGTCCCCTCCAGATGTTTTGGACTGTTCATCTTGTAAGACTTTTCACCGACCATAGTGGTAGGACAATGGGGACTGCACTCCAAAACTTCAGGAGAACATACTCTTAGAATCATAGAGTTGGAAGAGACCTCATGGGCCATCCAGTCCAACCCCCTGCCAAAAAGCAGGAAAATTGCATTCAAAGCACCCCTGACAGATGGCCATCCAACCTGTTTAAAAGCCTCCAAAGAAGGAGCCTCCACCACACTCTGTGGCAGAGAGTTCCACTGCTGAACAGCTCTCACAGTCAGGAAGTTCTTCCTCATGTTCAGATGGAATCTCCTCTCTTGTAGTTTGAAGGCATTGTTCCGCATCCTAGTCTCCCAGGCAGCAGAAAACAAGCTTGCTCCCTCCTCCCTATGACTTCCTCTCACGTATTTATACATGACTATCATGTCTCAGCCTTCTCTTCTTCAGGTTAAACATACCCAGCTCTTTAAGCCACTCCTCATAGGGCTTGTTCTCCAGACCCTTGATCATTTTAGTCACCCTCCGCTGGACACATTCCAGCTTGCCAATATATCTCTTCAATTGTGGTGCCCAAAATTGGACACAATATTCCAGGTGTGGTCTAACCAAGGCAGAATAGAGGGGTAGCATAACTTTCCTGGATCTAGACAAGTGGTTGTCAACCAGATGTTTTGGCCTACAACTCCCAGAAATCGCAGCCAGTTTACCAACTGCTAGGATTTCTGGGAGTTGAAGGCCAAAACATCTGGGGACCCACAGGTTGAGAACCACTGATCTAGACACTATGCTCCTATTGATGCAGGCCAAAATCCCATTGGCTTTTTTTCCCGCCGCATCACATTGTTGGCTCATGTTTAACTTGTTGTCCACGAGGACTCCAAGATCTTTTTCAAACGTACTGCTCTCGAGCCAGGCATCCCCCATTCTGCATTTTTGCATTTCATTTTTTTTTTTGGCTAAGTGGAGTATCTTGCATTTGTCACTGTTGAACTTCATTTTGTTAGTTTTGGCCCATCTCTTTAATCTGTTAAGATCATTTTGAATTCTGCCCCTGTCATCTGAGATGTTTACACGTTCCATACCCAACCCACAATGGCAGTGGGGTGGAGTCTACATAGCTCAACTGAAACTCCACAGGATTTCCTGACTTTTTTTGACACAGGAATAAACCATTCAAACTTGGTTTACTCCATATTAAGGACCGGAAGTCCTTAAATGTCTTGAAAAGAGACAGTACTGACATGTGGGTAACTTTGGGATTTGTGTCCAGTGTAAACAAATCCTCAGTCTGGCTCTACACTAAAGTTTTTATGCAGTTTGAGACTGATTTAACGGATGCAGCTCAATGCTATGGAATCCTGGGTTGTACTTTGGTGAGAAACCATCATTCTTTGGTAGAGAAGGCTAGAAACCTTTGAAAAAAGTTGAAGTGGTGTCAAGCTGCATCAGTTCTGCAGTGTAGATGTGCTCTTAGAAACCCCCTCCAGTTTACTTCTGCAGCTGCACATTGCAGGCTAAGTTCAATAATGAAAAAGCTGATGCTCAGTGAAATTCACCTGCTGTTATCAATCTCTTTAATAAAGGAATCCCAGAGTTCCCCCAAATGGTGTTTGGCAATCATGGAGCTAGAACATTATTTTTGAAGCAGCATCCTTCTCAAGGTTTAATGGCTCAGCAATCCACGATTCAGTCCCTGTCACTCTGAATTGCAGATAGAAGCTCAGAGTTGCCAGGACTAATAAAAACATGTTTACGTTGAAACTGCTCTTTAGACAACAATAAGTGAGATGGAAACAGCTGCCAAAGTACAAAAGGAAACACAGCAGCTGTGTAGAAAGAGATACCATTTCTTCTTGACATGTTCTGAGGCAAAACCTTTTCTACGGGAAATTCCCCTTCCATACAAATAACCCACCCTTTGCATATTCATGGCCCCAAAAACTGATTTTGATTGACATGAGTGAGACAAGATAGGAGCCTTGCTTCAGTAGGCATCAGACTGCCTTCTGTGTGTGAGTATGTGCCTTCAAGTAGTCTGTCAATTTGTGGCGACCCCATGCATATTTCATAAGGTTTCCTCACGGAAGTAATACTCAGAGGCAGTTTCTCCAGTTCCTTCCTCTGAAATATAGTGTACAGCACCTGGAATTCATTGGCAGTTTCCCCTCCAAGTACTAACCAGGGCTGATTTTACTTAGCTTTCAAAATCAAGTGAGAACTGGTGTTTTTAAGGCCCTCACCTATTTGTAGAGAAAGTTTCACTTGGAACAACGGGCTGAATTACCACATCCAGGGACTTCACAAAGCCAAAAGGTTGGTTCAGTGTTTTTTTATTGGGCAAAGCTCTTTCCAGATGGACTAGTGAATCCCAGCATTTCTCCAACACCACCAAAGTTTTTTTTTTCATTTCAGTTCCTGGGCAATGCTATTTATAGAGCTAAGGAGTTCCTTAAAATAGCCATCTTCGTCCCCTTCCTTTTGCTCTTCTGCTGCCAGCTCTTCGTACTCTTGGCGGAGGAGGCCCAGCGTGTGGTTGAGGCTGTGGTCCTGGGTGTAACTCTCCCGGCAGTAGTCCAGCAGCACATGCACCATCTTGAGCACCTTCTCCCTGCTGTCATGCCCAGGCATCCTCAGCAGGTTGGGAATAATGGCACACCAGCCCTGCTCCACAATGGCCGGCACCAAGGTCACGTGGCTGTACTGCTGGATCCTCTCGCGGACCTGGTCGTTGTCATCGTGGGATTCGTTATGCAACATCTGTAACCAAGTCCCCCCAAATTATTATCATTACTAGTGCTCCTCAAATCCTATTGTATATGCATTCACCTGAACTTGGAAACAACTTCTCTGCCATCAAGACCGCTTACCATACGAGCTAGAAGATTTGGGGAACTGTGGTCCAAAAGAAATTGGAAATGGGAACTGATGCCCTCGCAATCTACAAGTGGCTATGATGGCATTGGGAATCAAGGGGTTGCAATCAAACAAGAACCCTATATATCCATATATAAGTCTAGAAATGTTAATCAAAATATAAACCCCCAAAACCTGTATCTATGGGTCAGTGTGAGTGCTGTATTTCCACTCTCATCTAAAAAAAAGAACCATCCTCCTCTCTGACTACAGTGACAAAAATCTAGTTAGTCCATACCAGGAGAACTCACTGGCCCCCTATATATTCCCTGTCAGGGTACCATATTTAGCCATTTTGAATGTGGGGAAGGTGCATGATGGTGTCGACCAGGAGTGGCTAACCCTGAACAGGTATTCTTTTCTCTTCTCTGTGGAATGACCCTCAATTTATCCACAGGTTATGTCAAAGTCCATTATTTTGGCCCCAAAACATGCCCTCAACTAATAAATGAGTATATAAAGTAACTTTATTGAGCTTTACTAAAGGTCCCCTGGTGACGCAGGGGGTTAAACTGTTGAGCTACTGAACTTGCTGACTGAAAGGACAGCAGTTCAAACCTGGGGAGCGGGGTGACCTCTGACAACCTAGCAGTTCAAAAACATGCAAATGTGAGTCGATCAATAGGTATGGCTCCATGCAGTCATGCTGGCCACATGATCTTGGACGTGTCTATGGACAATGCCAGCTCTTTGACTTAGAAATGGAGATGAGCCCCACCACCTAGAGTCAGACACGATTGGACTTAATGTCAGGGGAAATCTTTACTGAGCTCTCACACTTACTTAAATGTGTGATGGAAAATCTCTCACCCTCCAAATATTGTTGAGCTCCATTTTCCATCAGCTCCTTTCAGCACAGCCAACTTTTAGGAATAATGAGTGCAACAGTCCAAGATCTAGAAGGCCACAGGTTCTCCACCCTGGCATACAGGATGAAGATTGCTTTTAAAGAGCTTGTGTTGTGTAGTGGTTTATGCATTGGAGTATGGCTTGAAGACCATGCTTCCATTCCCACTCCCCCCCTCCCCCATGTCAGGAGCGACTTGAGAAACTGCAAGTCGCTTCTGGTGTGAGTGAACTGGCCGTCTGCAAGGATGTTGCCCAGGGGACGCCTGGATGTTTTACAATCCTTGTGGGAGGCTTCCCTCATTTCCCTGCATGGGGAGCTGGAGCTGACAGAGGGAGCTCATCTGCACTCTCCCCTGGGTTTGAATCTACGATTTGTCCATCTTCAGTCCTGCCAGCACAAGGGTTTAACCTACTGTGCCACTGCCATGGAAACACAATGGGTGACTTTGGGCAAGTCACACTCTCTCAGCCTCAGAGGAAGGCAAAGGCATACCCATTCTGAATAAATCATACCAAGAATAGCCCTTAAGGTGGCCATAAGTCAAAACTCCCTTGAATGTACACAGGAACAATACCTGCTTCTTTTGAAAGAAGCGAGGCATATTGAATTTCAGCTTTTTATGTGTATGCAAAAAGGAGAGGAGGAAATTTTCTCTGATTCATTCCAATACACAGTTAACTTGACACATTTTCTACAAAATGAAAAAGAAAAGGAGACGAACCCAAATGGGTCACATCATGGCTGAACAGGACAAAAAAACCAAGGCTTTGTTTAGCATGAGTGCCTTGTTAAAATGGAGAAAAGAAAGAGAAAAGAAAACTTTGAAAACCAAATGTAACCTGACTATTAAAGCAAGCTGGGGGACAAATTGCTTTAAGATGTAAGAATCTATTATTGCTGCGAGGGGAGGAGCCATTTAGAAGTAAGAAATCAGCCAGAGACAATAAAAGCATTTGTTGATTCCAGAAGAAAAGGGAGAAGGAAAGAAAAAAGAAAGGAAAGCTTTCTTTATTAGCTTTTACTGCTCAAGCTGTTAAGATGGACAGAAGAATACGCATATATCCTGACCTGAACGATTGTTAGCATCAGCAAGTAGCGTGGTGCAGTTAAGTCATTTCTAGATGCAGCGCTTTTATACACACATATACACACACCTCTCTCACTTATTTCAAAATGTGGTAAACAAGACTCTGCATTCTCTCCTTCATGCCCAGATCCCCTCTGCACCTCCTTCTGGATTTCTACCTCCAAGTCTTTCACTTGATGCTTCAGAAAGGCAACAGAATGTGTGACAAAAATGACAAAAATGACCAAATAAATGGAACCAGGACTGGGTGGTGTTTACACAAGAGTCCTTTAAATATGCAGGGCAGGAAATTATTAATCCCATCCAGTATCAACATTCGATCTACGTGAATGTGTGAGTGATGGATTGAACTAGTCTCTGACCCCACTCACTACTTGGTCACTAAAATAGGCTGGAGTGCAAGGACAAAGGCAATGAAGTGTACCCATGTTCAATGCATAAAGCATTGATTTCCTGGCACTCTTACTTCTCCAGCCCCATTGGCACTCTCACTTCTCCAGCCCCATCTTCACCTGCTCTGTTGTCACCACCCACTCGTCTTGGTTAGGAAATTTCCCAACCAAACTGACTGGGGTGGAGACAGCTGTGAGACAGGAAATGGTGCTGATTTGAACCATTGCACCAGAAAAGTATATTCCAAAAAGAGGGATGTGACAGCTTAAATGAGGCTGCTGCTATCGAGGCAAAGTCCCTCCCAAACACACAAGGACTTAGGCAGTCAGCCCTTAAAAAAACAGCTGGCAGAGGATCTAACGGGCATCTCAACCTCAGCAATAGACTTCACTGTTATGCATAGCATGAATCCACTGGATTTGACTTGTCGATCTCCTCTAGTTGGGAATAGCCAACCATCTCCTCTAGTTGGGAATAGCCAACCATCTCCTCTAGTGGGGAATAGCCAACCATCTCCTCTAGTGGGGAATATTTTAGCCCTTCATTTCAAAATCAATAAAGCAAATGGCAAACAGTTTTCCTCTCCAATAGCAGCAGGTCTTTTGTAAACCTAATGGCTCTTAATAGCCCAAGGTTAGACCACCCTCAAATTCTTAGTGTAACTGAAAGCTCACAACGTTGAGCATCTTGGTAATGGGAAAATCAATTCCGCCTTCTTCTCTCAGGTACCCTGAGAAGCTACAGCTATGATGTGAAGGAACAGCAAGGCTTAGGGCAGCATTTCTCAATCTGGGGGTCCGGACCCTTGGGGGGGTCATGAGGAGGTTTCAGAGAAGTCACCAAAGACCATCAGAAAACATATTTCTGATGGTTTTAGGAACCCCTATTGCAGAGAAGGCTGAAGATCTCTCCACCTGTCCTTCTCTTCCTTTTTGGAAACAGACAGCAAATCCTCCCACCAAAAGCCCTCCTCTGCTGTGATTAGCCGGCCTCTCAGCCAGCTTCTCAGCCAAGGGGAGGGCTGTTTCTGATACTCCAAGTGAGGAAGGGAGAGCAGGTGTGCTTGGCACATGGAGGAGAGGTGCACATGTATGGGTGAGGGAGAGAATGCAAGGCTGGAGAAAGGCTCGCACCAGTGAGTCCCTTCAAGACATGTGGGTTCTGTGTGGGAAGTTTGGCCCAATTCTATCATTGGTGGGGTTTAGAAGGCCCTTTGTTTGTAGGTGAACTATAAATCCCAGCAACTACAACTCCCAAATGTCAAGGCCTATTTTCCCCAAATTCCACCAGTGTTCACAATAGGACATATTGAGTATTTATGAAAATTTGCTCCAGATCTATCATTGTTTGAGTCCACAGTGCTCTCTGGGTATAGTTGAACTACAACTCCAAAACTCAAGGTCAATGCTCACCAAACCCTTCCAGTATTTTCTGTTGGCCAAGGGAGTTCTGTGTGCCAAGTTTGGTTCAATTCCATCGTTGGTGGAATTCAGAATGCTCTTTGATTATAGGTTAGCTATAAATCCCAGCAACTACAACTCCCAAATGACAAAATCAACCCCCCACCCCAACCCCACCGGTATTCAAATTTGGGTGTATTGGGTATTTGTGCCAAATTTGGTCCAGTGAATGAAAACACGTCCTGCCTATCAGATATTTACATTACAATTAATAACAGTAGCAAAATTACAGTTATGAATTAGCAATGAAAATAATGTTATTGTTGGGGGTCACCACAACATGAGGAACTGTATTAAGGGGTCGTGGCATTAGGAAGATTGAGAAACACTGGCTTAGGAGATATGATGGAGGTGCTTTCATCCCAGCCTAATAGACAGAATCCACTACATCTGTTGAACTCTGGCTCCACCACTTTTGGCACACACATACACCCCGGGTGTGCTTGGGAGCTAAAAATCACTAGTTTATATTGTGCCACAAGCGCAACATGGCACATTCAAGAGGCTCTGGGCTTGAGGATTACAGTAATAACAACTTCCCTCCCTAGTGTTTCATTTAGATGCATCCTGATATCATTTAATGCTGTTGCTTTATCTTCTGTCCTCAGTGGGGAAAAAAAGTTAGAATTATTCTACCTCTTTTTTCCCAGGGGCCAGTTAAAAGTATTTGAAATACTATCAACAAATGAGACTACTGGAGTTGATTGTTTAAGGAAATCATCACTGTAGCAAAACTTTGGGACTTGAATGCCTGCATTAAACAGACTACACTCCTGCTTTTAATGCTCTTTGGGGCCCCTGGAGAGGTAATCAAAATCACAAATGACTCACCAAAAAACGATACTGTCAAAAAAGTGGGGAGGGAGCAGCAGTCCGCAGGGGAGGGATAAAAGTAAGGGCTACAAATGCGAGCCAAATGCTCAAAACACATTCGCAGCCATTTCACGCGGAGTGCATTAAAAATACCTCCTGCGCCCCACAATGGCAGTCAGTGATTGATGCTGTATCGTATACCATCTAATCTCACTGGCACGTTTTCATGCAATCGCTACAA